CTCTCTCTCTCTCTCTCCTCCTCCTTCTTCTTCTTCTTCTTCTTCTTCTTCTTCTTCTTCTTCTTCTTCTTCTTCTTCTTCTTCAGACTAGAGACTTATACTAGTTGGACAGAGATCAGAGTTACATCTGGACTCTGTATCTCCGACATTGGTGACCTATGGGCCTCGACATTTTGATCCTGTTGTATGACATTTTGGACTACCACATCGGAGACCTATCAGACTCTATCTATCGGTGTTGTCTACCTCCCCACCTCCTTCGTCTCTCCTCCCACCTTTCATCTGTGAATGCGTGTACGGGATCTGGGCATCGTCTATGAATGGCCCAGACCCCACCATCTCACGATTGTAYGTRTGTGGAGTGATGCTATGTGAGCCAGTCTATGTGAGTCAGTCCGTTTATCAGACTTCCGCTGCATATATGCTCATCCTACATTGGTTGATCTTTGGTTCTGCCCATACTCATTGAAGTATGCAACATGGGAGGACCTCTTTTATACAGATAGTGATTTCTGTAGGCCTATATTTTTTCTTCTGTAGACTGGTAGAAATCTGCATGGCACGTAGACTCATCAGGCTGGGGCCGCTGGGCAGGTCAGGTTGGTAGTTCCTGTCTTCACCCGAATACAACCTACGGTCATTATATTCGGTCAGGTTATATAAATTTATATATTATATAAACACCTGTATTTGGGGTATGTTACACTTTAAAATTTAAATACAGCAACTGTGTACAACATACGGTCATTACAGCTATATTTCAAATACAATGTATGGTCATTATAAATTTATATAAAATGATTTATAATTTTATATATGTCTTTGGGGTACTTCACTGTCTAAATACAGCAATAATGACCGTTAAGTTTTATTCCGGTGAGGACGGTAGTGGTGGTGTAAGGGTGGGACTCAACCAGTTCGACCACCAGAAATAGCGCACGGCTCTACCAGTATGATTTAAGACGTAGGAATAGAAGGAAAGTAGTTCAACGTATGCTGATGCTGGAGGAGGAATGGGGAGTGAAGAAATGCGCAGGGAGTTTTAAGTTATAATAATCCACCCTGAGCCCATAATGCGTCGGACTTTCAAAGAAACAAACAAAGATACCGACAATGAATTCCAAGGAAACGAACGTAGAAAACCAGCTACAAGATCGGTACGGTCTTCTCCGAAATACAACTCGCCACTCATGACTCCCGTCCGACTGGAAAGATAGTTGGTGTACATTCATGATCAGGGTGTGTTCTGTTCGGGGGAAAACAGCAGTGCCGCGACAGAGAAACCCAGTTGCACAAGGTCAAAAAGCGGTGATGCTGTGTCCGTCTATCCTCCTCTGCTTTTTTTTTTCCTTCTTCTAAAAATAGAAAATGTTTGTATCACAACATAGCAAACCCTGGGCATTCCCACAAGACAAGATTAATAAATTACAAATGGACATGCAAGAGGTCCACAGCAGCCTTCCACCCAAACAAAAACTGGCAAGAAAAGAACATAAAAAAATGACCCCTAAATTGCCCCAAACCCTAACTTCAGTTTTGCGCCCGTTAACCCAAGAACTGAGAAGTGTGGGTCCTAGTTAATGACTCGGGCACGGGTTTAGCTCTAGCACATGTCCTGCAGCACGCTAACGAGTTGGTGAAACCGGGGAGCGTGAACATGTGTTGACTATGTGTTGAAAATTGTGCAGAGTACCCAGAGGTGCTGGGATCGATTCTCGGTGCCTTGAAGGCTATCGTGAACGTTATTGGAATGACGAAGATGACACCTCCAATCAAAGACCTACTGCCGAGGCTCACTCCTATCCTCAAGAACAGGCACGAAAAGGTGCAGGAGAACTGCATTGATCTTGTCGGACGGATTGCTGACAGGGGTGCCGAATTCGTGCCTGCACGGGAATGGATGCGGATTTGTTTTGAGCTACTAGAAATGCTGAAGGCCCACAAGAAGGGAATCCGCCGCGCAACCGTAAGTTCGTGATGGATGTGGCTGATGGATGTTCCGGCATGTTCTCTTTCTGTGCCTCGTTCCTTTTCACCACATCGTACTAGATGGTAATCAGGTTTTGCTGTCATTTCAAGTTTGCTGTGGATCTGATTCCGTCTTCCTGTCACGGCGAGCCGCTTGTGCTTTATTGTTGTGACCAGGGTTACCTGACCGAACGTTCGGGCGTTCGGGGTCCCGTTCGTTTTCGGGGCCTAAAAATAAGTTGTTTTTTCTGAATTTTTTTTTGTGAGTTCTCTATGATGTCACCTACACGCCTATAAATTTTGAAGCCATTCTGCTAAGCCAAAAAAACATTAAAAATCGTCAAAGATGGGGGTGTCAAAACGTGCTCGCCCACTCACTATTTTGTTTTTTTTNACCACACCAGGCTTCGACTTGACGTTTCCAAATCAACGATCCGAGTTCTTCTCGCGATCATGCGCGGGATTGCGGTCGGCACTCGGTAATGAGTACGACTATACCACATTCCAGGCCATTCGGGATCGAGCGAACTTGGTCATCCAAACAGACGACAAGGCCGCTAACGAGAGACAATCCCAGCCGCATTATGTGGCTAAGCAGGCCTATCAACGTCCGGCATTGTTAACAATGCCGTGATTTATGAGGAAACCGACGACCACCATGCTGCAGCAGCATCCTCGGGTGATGTAGGAATTGTCGCAGCGCTCCCGCCGAAGCGTCCCAAGAGAGTTCGTAAGAACAAGGCGACACAAGAGACGGCAGCGACGGGAGCTGGGCAGCAGCCATGGACGGCATATAAGATCACCAAGGAGGTCTMTGACCTGCGTCAGAAGTACAGATACTGCCTTTGGTGCAACGGAGTCACTCATGTGACCGCACAATGCCCCGAAATGGGCAAGGCACGCGTACCCCGTCCAGCAAACTCGGGAAACTGAGTTACGCAAGGAGAGGGGYGACGTCTCTCCTCACTCCGCCGGACCCGGTTGCCTTGCTAGCAATCGATGTCACTACCGAGGAGCATGCGTTAGTCGCTGATTCTCGTGCTATGTACGAGGATTATGCCGCCCAGCTGTTACCACCATTAGACCAGCCTAGCCACGTGCATGTAGATTGCGTATGCGCAGCCTGTACACCGTCGGCAAGTGATCCGGTCAGTCCGCCACTGATTTTCAAGGACTCGACGGCGTGGTCAAGACTTGAGGAGCTTGACCCGCTCACGAGAGAGGATTTCGCTTGGATACCTCTACCCTCGACCGGAACATTGCCAAGGCCGCATTGCAACGCCTTGATGGCAAATCTACGATTCTACTTGCACACTACAGTACCAGCTCCGTTGATGGACGACGGGGTAGCGGTTGCCGATCTCCGCTCCTATCTTGGGAAGATCGACCGCGAGCACGCCACGCAAAGGTACGCCGAAACCGACGCACCTTTGCTCTATATCCGCATTGAAATCGGAAAGGCAACCTGTAGTGCCTTGATTGATTGCGGAGCGTCTCGCAACTTCATGAGCCAAGCCTTTGTGGCCCGCGCAGGTCTTGGCCCGCGCGTTCGAAGGAAGACGCAACCTACGCAAGTTACACTCGCGGACGACCGCACGCAAAAGTCAATTGACCGATGCGTTGACGGCGTTCCAGTCTACTTTGCGCCACTTGCGTGCGAGCCGATGTCTTTTGACATCCTCGACACCAAGTTCGACATGATTCTAGGCATGTCTTGGTTGCGTAGCGCCGATCATCCGGTGAACTTCCATGACCGAACCGTTCACACCCGTGATCGGAACGGAGTGTTAGTCCCATGTACGGTCGCGACCCCTCACACTTCGATTGCTTGTCACGTGGTTTCCGTTGCGCGGATTCGCAACGCCATTCCTCGGAATGACGTCGAGGAGATGGGCCTTGTATTCTTGCATGCTCTCCCCTCGCTGGACGGACCAACCACGTCACCGCCGGACCCACGCATTTCTCACCTCTTGGACGAGTATAGAGACGTCTTCGAGGCTCCCACCGGAACGGTTCCGGATCGGCCCATACGTCACGGAATCACTCTCGAGGCTGGCACCGTCCCTCCGCGTGGATGTATCTACCACATGAGCGAAGAGGAACTCGAGGTGCTTCACGCACAACTCGATGATTTTCTCGACAAGGGTTGGATTCGCCCTAGTTGCTCGCCATACGGTGCACCTCGTAGGACGTTGGACGAGCACATCGTACACCTTCGCGTTGTTTTGAATCGTTTGCGACTAGCCAAGTACAAAGCGAATCTCGACAAGTGCGAATTCGCCAGGCAAGAGCTTGAGTACTTGGGCCATTTTGTCACGCCGAAAGGCATTCGTCCCTTAGCGGACAAGATCCAAGCCATCGTGGATTGGCCGGAACCCCGTTGCACGACGGATGTACGCTCTTTCATGGGTTTGGCTGGATATTATCAGCGATTCGTCGAGTCATACTCGAAACTGGCCGCTCCTTTGTCGAGACTTCAGTCCCCGAAGGTGCCCTTCGAGTTCGACGACGTAGCCCGTGGCGCGTTCACTACGTTGAAGGCAGCGATGCAAGCCGCACCTGCCCTCCGTATATACGACCCCACCCTACCCACCCAAGTGACTACGGACGCTTCGGGATACGGTATTGGTGCGGTGTTGGAACAGTGTCACGAGGACGGTTGGCATCCGGTTGAGTATTTCTAAAAGGTGCCTCTCGTCAACACTCTCGACGACGCTAGGAAGAAAGAGCTACTCGCGTTCGTCACCGTTCTCAAACGGTGGCGCCACTTTCTTCTCGGYCGGCGGCATTTTAAATGGAATACGGACAACAATCCGTTGACCTTTTACAAAACGCAAGACACGGTCACTAGCACGATCGGTCGATGGATGTATTACATCGACCAGTTCGATTTTGACCCGTGCCACATTCCCGGTCCTGCCAATCGAGCTGCGGACGCCCTCTCACGAYGGCCCGACTTTTGCGCCATTGTGACCACGGCATTYGACCTCGATGRCGATCTGCAGCCGCATTTCRTCAAAGGCTACAAGTCCGATCCGACTTACTCTACACTGTACGAGGAGCTCTCATCGGATCACCCGCYRGCGAGCCACTATCGGATTTCCGACGGGTTCCTTCTCCTTCACACGAGAGGAAAGGACTTGTTAGTTGTGCCCCAAGATCGCATCTTACGGACTCGTCTTCTCGGCGAATTCCACGACGCACGACTTTCGGCACACCTTGGCGTGAACGACACACTAGCACGCCTCCGCCAGCGTTTTCACTGGCCCGACGTCCTTCACGACGTCACGAGGTACATTGAGTCATGTGCAGTTTGCCACCGTAACAAGGGTCGATCTCGAGTCCCCTTCGGCGAACTGAAACCGTTGCCGATCCCTCGGGCACCACGCCTCTCCATTGCTATGGACGTGACAGGCCCGTTTCCCCGCGATCGCCACGGCCATGACGGTATTCTCACGGTTGTTGACCATTTGAGCAAGTATGCTCGCTTCCTTCCTTGCAAGTATCATGCTGCAGCACCTGAGCTCGCACGACTCTTGCACACCGATTGGGTTACCAACCAGGGTGTTCCAGAAGATATAGTGAGCGACCGAGATACTCGCTTCATGTCGGCCTTTTGGACTTCTCTCATGACTGAGTCCGGCACGACAATGAAGCCGAGCTCGGCTCGGCACCCGCAGACGGATGGTCAG